TAGTCAACCTCTAAGGACCTAACCTTAATCACCTATGGACTGTGAACCCGAAAATATTCCGAAATAACGAAATGTCATGCGTTCGAGTCACTGACGTAGACAACATATACGTGAAGCACCATAGGAAAGAAATTGCAGTCTTCGGTGTAGCGGTGGCACTATTAACTATTGCTGTTTGTAAATTGCCAATTTACGTGGAAATTGTGAGAGATGACATGATCCCACGTATTCGCACACGTACATTAGACAGTTCCATTAAGATTTGCGGCGCAAGTCTTGCGCCACGAACCTCGTTTGCCCCTAATCGTTGCATAAAACGGCTCGCAGCTCTCAAAGTAAGATGTATAGAATAAGAAACTTGAATATCCATTATCCCCATCCCGAGTGCCCCAGTTCACTTAGTGAACATTCAAGGCGCCTGTACGTTAGGGATTCCGAAAGCGCACCAAGTCTAGGAAAACCTAAGACCTACTAACTTCCGATGTGACTAGTTAAAACTCCACGAGAAGCATTTCGAAACAGGCTAATTATGCATGTTTGCGAATGGGTCGTAATTGCGGCCAAGTAGTGCTGAAACAACTTACTCAGCAGGCTGTAGTGATTCACAATACGAACGCCCCAGCGGAGGATCGAACCCCGTGCCCCTAGAAATTTCAGGAAAAATTTCTCCAGAAAATTCCGGAAAATGCCCTCGGAAGGAAATTTTGTCCAAAACGGCGTACATTCCTTTGTTGAGGGAGAGCACTTGCAATACAAGGATCAGCCCGCGAACAGAACAGGACAGTGAACAGGACAGTGAACAGGACAGTGAACAGGACAGATCAGTACGAACCAATTTGTGCGAAGGCGGGAACTTACGACAACGGTCAACTGGCAATGATTCATCACTATAATGTGTACGCATTCACATTGGCGCCGCCGAGCTTGAGGCTTCACATCTCTCGCGACTGTCTAAGACAAAACTCAATAAGCAATCATAGGCTCGTGCATTCTGCTTCCTTTTTTCCGACAGGTTCGATAGTGTAACCTCCTCCACGCATGAATCTTGTGGTCTCATTTTCGCAATACTATGTACCTAACTAGTACTCCCTAGTACAGTCCAATGGGAGTTCCTGAACAGAGGATTCACTACCCCTTAGTGAGGGCCCCCACTCCTAATGGCGCAGTGATTTCACTGTTAGTGTTATTTTGTTCGGTGAACCGAATAGGGACTACACCTTACATCTGCATTGAACTCAACATCGCCCGCGACAAGAGCTTTCCTCCTCCCACATTGAGAAACTCGATGCAACAAATCACTCAATGTGCATGCCATTTGAATTGTTCATCACGAATCGTTATCAGAATCCATGTCAGAGTCGGAATCATCATCGACACTCCCACGAGGTCTGAGAGTTCGCAATTATGGACAAGTGCATCTTAGTGAGATTATAGCCTCACTTGGCCAACCACATGCCTGCCAGAATACCACACGCCGCGGCGCCACCCAATACAAGCATTGATATTTGCTCTGCTGCCTTGTTCGCCTCGTTAGCATATCTGTTACGACTGTTGTTGTATATCATCATCGATTCACAATAAGAATGCCTTCACAATTTCAAACGCCCTACGATGGCCTCTAGAAGTGTTCTGGGAGAAAAGCTCCCTCCTTGAATCACCATGCTTGTTCTACTCACGGCTTCGATAAAACACACACTGAAGACTATCCAGACAGGTGCTTATAAAACCTCATTCGTGAAGTGACTCGCAAACAATATGAAGCTTGACCCATGACCCCCACAACGGTACGAATCGCCGCTGACGCTGACGCTGGGTGGCTCAGCAGAAGTCGGTCCGTATGCATTCACAGGCTGTTGTTGCAGACCAGGACCAGGCCCACTTTGAGGCGGAGGAGCACCTACTCCTGGTGGGAGTGTTGACGCCGGTGGGGGCGGTCCGAAACCTGAAGGAAGTATCATCTCCTCCCGATAACAGTAGCAATGAGACTTCACCTGTGAGACCAACTCCCGGAGGTGCGCCTGGGAACTGCGCCGGTCCAGGAGGCGCCATGCCGAGCGCGAACGATGACCTGTAGCAGGCAAACTCGTATAAAACTATATCTAATTTCATGTCACTAGAATGTGTCGCACGTATGCCGATAACAGGTATAAAAACGACGAGAGACAAGGAAATCATTAAATTGTTTCTACCCACTGAGAGATCCCTTAAAACAACCTCATTAGTATTTTGTAGCATATATATTTTCATATTTTCTACAATGATAGAGAACAATCTCCAATTCTGCTAATGCTCCGACACTGGTGCAGCTTTGCATAACGTTTATGATAAGCCTGTACGACAGGCTGTAGTCTACAGCATACGACCTCTATTCACGACATATAGCGACTGGGACACTCCTGCTCTGTGTTGCAGTATATGTTTGGTTGCCTCAGCTGACCTCGGGAGTTACCTCACTACATACAGCGTAGGATAGAAATGTACACCAAGCAAAAGAACGTTTCTTAGGAAACTTACTCAGCGCGCATGTTCGTGTCTGCACAAGTGCTATCATCATCAACCGATCGAGTCGTGAAAGTAGTGAACTGACTGAAGGAAGGGTTGAGGGAACGTCTATGAGAATCCTACATCTACTGCGTGGTGATGAGGTGACACTCCAGTCAAAAGATGATTATACGATGAGACAAGAGACTCCAGCATAGAGACAGAGCTGACGAGTTATACCGGGACCGGGTCGAGGCGCGGTTGATATTTAATATAAGCTACAGTATGCTAGAGGGTAATAAACTAGGCTTACTCTTGAGGCATGCGAGCTCAACAGTCGTAGAACAGGAAAAGATGCTACACCGAGGAAGGAGTTTTTATGCAAGAGCAAGAACAATCACTGTCCATGTCACTGTCGGAGTCACCTCGGGTTTCGCTCCCCCTCTGGGAAGCCACAGGCAGCTGTGTGAATTTCGCACCGTTTGAGAGACCGATTTGCATTGCACTCACCCACGGAGTCATAGTCTGATCAACGCTCCC